ATCATTGTTTTCTTTACACCTTATCATGTGTAAGTTGTTCCAGATCCTGTTTAATAATGTCTGTTTAATCCATGTAGTCTGTCCACAGCCGTTTTCCTTTTTATATAGTTAAAGTGAGCACCAGCGAAGCAAGCGCACAAGCAGGAGAACAAAAAAATGTCTGTGGACTTCTTTGGAAAATAGACACTTTTTAGTCTCCTCCCCCATGTCATCACCTTATCGTTATCACTGCCGTTTGCCCTCTCTACATTAATTAAATTGAACCAATGAAACTCAAGATTTTAATTGCTCACTTTATGACATCTATAAATAGGATCAAAATACTATTAGACAACATACACTATTTAAGAAATGGTAAACGCAGCAGCGCACACTGTCGAGTTATAGTGTACACGGGAGGTTTTTAAGCACAAAAAAGCATAAGAGTCGCCCAAGGCGTAATCTGCTTACATTTTTAAAGCATGCAAAAAATATTCTTTCAGCTGCCGTCCTCGCTGACTCAAAGTTTATTGACCCTCAGTAACAATGGTTGGCCATTTAATTTCTCAGCTTAAGATCTTTAGCTATAAACTAAGCCTTGTTAACGAAACACATTGATAAAAATACAAGCGCACAAGGTTTTGAAGTTATCTTAATTATGTGGCAAACATGCATGCAACTGCCAGAAGCGATAATGGAATGGAATCATAAAGTCAAAACAAACAAAGTTAAAGTTAAAAATGAACACGTCGTTTGCAAATATCTGTGTAAGCTTATAACAGACCCCCAAAATATGGAATTCACATTATGTACTTGTTTTTATTATAAATTCACCGTAATTTGTGTGATTTTTGCTGGAGCTCAAAATTGAACTGCACATCAAAATTTTCACTCAGCACATTTAAGATAAGCTAGTTTAAGCTCCAAATAAAATAAATTTTGGAAGCAGAGTTTTTGAACTAACCTTTATTCCAGTTGAAAATTTATTTCAATAATCCTCTGAATCACTGCTCCGAACAATAATAATAATTATTAATTATTATTATTATTATGCTAATGGGGGCCACTTAGATTTATAATTTGTTGCTATGTCGAAAATTGACTATGAGCGATCGACCAATGAAACAACAAACTCTGGTGTATTGTGAGTCTTTCATTACCCAATTTATGCACATAGTCAGTGAGATTGTATTAATTTTTGTAGTCACTAAACAATAGAGAATTAACCATCTGCCCCAAAGTGGTCACAGTCACTTAATATGAGAGGTGGTCGCTTACGAGAGGTTCCGAATAGGGGTGCAACCATCCACATACCCTTCGATTCGATTTTGATTATTGCCTTTCAATTTCGAATATTTTGATTCGATTATGCAAATATTTCTTTATTTCTACACAGTCTCATAGAATTATCTATTATATTGTCTTAAATAGGGAAACCATTAGTTAGCACTGATTTGTTTTCGCTACACCCATAAATGGAGATTAAACTCATTGACAATAGATGAGCACCGGGAAGGTGCCTGTAAGGTTGGTGGAGCCACATGCAAAACTAGTCGAGTGCGGAAGGTAACCATGACAACCCTGTGAGCGGCAACCACCAGGCACTGTCACTGAAATTCAGTGGAAAGACTAAATACTTACCCTATACTTACCCAAAGGAAGGGACGGGCAGGGAGCAAATACTTTGAACCGCCAACAATGAAAGGCAACACTCACAAATTGGCTTGACATCTTTTGTTTTTACCTTGATCTGGATCTCAGTTTAATTTTTTAACCCAACAGCCCCCAATGTATTTCCCGTGTTTTTGCATCAATTAGTTAAACAAGTGACAGCAATAACTAACCGAATGTGATTTGATTGTCTCAAACATTGAAGTTGGAATTGTTTGGAATTGTTTGTTTCTATAATATTGTGCAAGGTTGTTTAGATCTAGTGATAGTTAAGTCCCAAATGTAAATCTGTTATGTACATGTAATATATACATGTACATGCCGTTTATACAATACATGTGCTGTTTCAATGCAAAACTTGTTTTCTATTTCTGCTCTAAATGTTCAATAAGGTAGCTTATACGACATAGCATTAGAGTGTGAATACGCACCAAAACGAGTGCAAATATGAGACTTTATTGTTCTACTATTATGTCATTTCACCATATAATATGGGACGGTATTGACCAGTTGAACAGAGTGAATACGGAAAATAGCATAATAGTTGGTAAATTTTGCAGTATTTAGAATAATAAATCCCTTATTCAATGGTTTAACATATAATACGAGCAGACATTTTGCTCATTGCTCGCATTTTTCCTCGCCCCTATGGGGCTCGGAAAAATACTACGCAACTTGCAAAATATCCGTGTGTATTATATGTTAAACCATCGAATAAGGTGTATGTATTACATGTGTCTTAGTCCCCCTGACCGCGCGCTACAGAAGCCTATATTCTAGAAAATAATTAAGTCGTATAATAAACAATTTATTCAGCAGAAAATTTTGTAATATGGCTGGGTATTTTTACGACTCAGTTTTTATTTTTTCTTGCCTAAAGGCTCTAAAAATAAAAACTAACTCGTAAAAATACCCAGCCGTATTACACAACTTTCCGCTGTATAACCTCTTTATAGTTAAGTATTAAAAAAACACCTACCTCATACATGTAACACACTAGAATCCCTGTTATAAGCCCCTCATTCCAACATTAAATATATAATGAGCAGAGCAACTTTCTTACAATCACTCATCAGATTGTCATCGGAGAGAAAATTAATTGAGTATTTAAAGAATCTCTTCAACATTTCTCTATGCAAATGCACAACACTTACTAGAAGCCCCATGCAGCTACCATCAAATGAGTGGTAACTTGAAATTTTTGTCTTCCCAATAATTATTATATCAGAGGAAGGCAGATACATGTAAATTATTTTACCTCCGTTTGTAAATTGACTTGGTTGAAGGGCTAAGCCTGAAATGTTTGGACTTATCACATTTTTATGGCACTGGACACTCGCATGCGAGAACTTTTAATTATCTTTTTGTTTATAAGTACAAGTGCCTTTTCATCATTCCTCTGTGATATCATTATTTTTGAGAACAAGGCAAGAGCAATATTATTAATTTGCCAACCAGAGAACTATAAACTACAAACTGACTTATACTACAAGGAAAAACAAGGCAATACAAGACGTCTGCATGCAAGCAATAAAGCTAACTTATGAAATAAAGAGTTATTTTGTTTAATGATTTTAACAAAACATAGACGACAATGTTTGTAAAAAGTAAGTATTGTTATCTTGTCTTACACAGGCTGTCAAGACAGAAGAAAAGACATGAATACTGCTAAGAAGAATACAAGAAAGGCCTTGAAATGTACAGTGTGCGGTAAAGAATTTAATGTCCAGTCATATCTAAAAAAACACCTGAAGATGCATGGTAGTGAGAGGCCCTACAAATGTACTCAATGTGACAAATGCTTTAAAAGTTCATCAAATTTGAACGCACACCTGAGGATTCACAGTGGTGCGAAACCCTACAGTTGTACTCAGTGTGACAAATGCTTTAACCAGTCATCAGTTTTGAAAGCACACCTGTCGACTCACACTGGTGTGAAATCATACAAATGTACTCAATGTGACAAATGCTTTAACCAATCAGCATCTTTGAAACACCACCTGATGATTCACAGTGGTGCGAAACCCTACAGTTGTACTCAATGTGACAAATGTTTTACCTGTTCATCGCATTTGAAAAGACACCTGATGATTCACAGTGGAGAGAAACCCTACAGATGTACTCAATGTGACAAATGCTTTAATCGTTCATCGGATTTGAAAACTCACCAGATGATTCACAGTGGTGAAAAACCCCACAGATGTACTCAATGTGACAAATGCTTTACCGATTCGTCAAATTTGAGAACGCACCTGATGACTCACAATGGTGTGAAACCCTACAAATGCACTCAGTGTGATAAAGGCTTTACCTATTCATCAGTTTTGAAAGCACACCTGATTATTCACGGTGGTGGAAAACCCTACAGATGTACACAATGTGACAAAGGCTTTAATCGTTCATCAGATATGAAAAGACACCTGATGACTCACAGTGATGCAAAACCCTACAGATGTACTCAATGTGACAAATGCTTTAACCAACCGTCAAATTTGAAGACGCACCTAATGATTCATAGTGGTGAAAAACCCTACAGATGTACTCAATGTGACAAGTGCTTTAGCCAATCGGCAAATTTGACGTCACACCTGAAGATTCACAGTCACTGTGATGAAAAACCCTACAGATGCACTCAATGCGACAAATGCTTTAAGCATTCAACAGACCTGAAAAGACACCTGTTGATTCACAGTGATGAAAAACCCTACAAATGCAGTCAATGTGAGAAATGCTTTAACCAATCATCAAATTTGAGGAGACATTTGTTGATTCACAGTAGTGAAAAACCCTACAGATGTACTCAATGTGACAAATGCTTTAGCCAGTCGTCAAATTTGAAGACACACCTGATGATTCATAGTGGTGAAAAACCCTACAGATGCACTCAATGTGACAAATGTTTTAACCCAATTGTCAAATTTGAAGACACACCTGATGATTCACAGTGGTGAAAAAACCATACATGTATACTCAATATGACAAGTACTTTTCGTGTTCATCGCATTTGAAAACATGTTAATTAATTTAGTTGTGCGACCTTCACGTAAAACAGTTACTTTAAATAGGTTACTGATGGAACAACGAAGGCAAATAGAGTTGCCACTTAGTATCTCTCTCTACCCCATTACTACTAAAAATGTATTCTTATTTAAAAAAATTCAACATCATTAAAATATTCTCAAATCTTTAAGTGTAGCCATTGTAGTAAGGTTTTGTATATGACAGTGCTTTAAAGAGACAAATGTACGAAACATTCTTCCGAAGGATGTGATTTTGTGACAACTATCGTGGAATTAGTAAGTAACTGTAAATTCAGTTTGCCACAAGTGTGGGACAGAGAAAAAAATCTGAGTCCCCGACGAGATTCAAACCCATGACCTTCCGTACACCGATCGGATGCTTCAACCACTGAGCTACGGAGAGACTCATGTGGTGAGCTGTCATATACTAGGTTCATATGTTATTAAGGTATACACAACAAGGAGCTCAAAAGGGTGACTACATTTTATTAGGCCATTTCCGAGTTGCTTTTTGCCTCTGTTTCAAAACGAGTCCTGGTGCACAACCTTTCATATGGAGACATGACAATGAACGTGCAAGTTCATTTCCATATGAAAGATTGAGCGCCCATCCTCGGAGACCCAGGGGCAGATAGTGGGGACGAGCGAAAAAAATCGGCAAAGAATACTTTTCTTTGCCGATTTTTTTCGCTCGCCCCCACTATCTGCCCCTGGGTCTCCGAGGATGTTGAGCGCCAGGACTCATCGTGCACGTATACTATCCAATCTGAAGCCGAGCTATTCTTTGGCTTCTGATTGGATAGTAGTACGCGTACGAAAGAATGTCTTTAAAAGTGGTCACACCTTAGGGCTCCTTGTTGTAACTTATAAAATTTAAAACGTAGTAAATCATACTTAAATTTTAAGTCATGCTGAAAGAATCCTATAACTTTGACCTTTTTTATCGATTAATTCCAGCCGACTAATATAAAGAAGCGATAAGATTCATGTACATGCGCAAACTTTGAGCCAGTGTTCAAGGGGTTTCAAAATTATATTCCGTCTTCCAAAAATAGATTTTTGTTTCGTCTTAAGAAGATAATTTTGACAGAGGTTAAAGGATTATGAATAAAACGACGTTGCATGAGCCGGCCTGTACCACTACCCCCTCCTAAAGGAGCGAATGTAGTTATTGCCCCCCCCCCCCCCCCTAGAAATCAGTCCGAGATTGTGTACGACTGCATGTTTAATTGTTGGACATCACCTCCATAGCAATGTTCAACAGAGCCATAGCCCCACCCTAATTTTTTTTGTGCCCCCACCTTATAAGTAGTTCTGGATTCGCCAATGGAATATGTACTTGAAATAACATTTTAAGCCCCCCTCCTCTTGAGTGACTTATTTTCTTTGAGCCCCCCTATCCTTGCTTTGATTTTACTTAATGCCCCCCCCCCCCCCCCCCCCCCTCTGGTTTTCCACCCCCTACCCCCCTCCTGGTAATTATTACGCATTCCCTAATTGCTAACAAAAATGCGCGAGTGAGTGACGCGAAAGTCCTCAGACATTACCTGATATAACCGTAGCAGGCCAGCAGTTACGCAATATGGACAATATCAGAGGTCTATAACTAGAGGTTTCCATCTCTGGTATATTGCCCCATCAGATTCGCGTCTAGGCTATTTTTAGACCATTTTCCCGCGAACCAGTAGCCAATCACGTTGAACAATTTTTAATGCGAGCACTACGCAAAGCCAGCTACTTTGGCCAAAGAAAAGCGAAATTATAAAAAGCGAAAAGTGCCACAGCAGAATGGAATAATTGTTTTATTCACTTCTTCACAAGATTTACTCATTGTAAAATTATAAATCGACTAACTGCCTTTTCAGTTTCAGTTCTTTTCTGGTTTCGCGGGAAAATAGTCTAAAAAAAGCCTAGACGCGATGGGACGCGCGCAGTTGCTAGTGGAAACCTCTAGTTTAGATCTGCTTGCAGTCTAACCTCCTTTGCAGACGTTTTTTGTGTCTGTCCTATTCTCCCTCCCCACTAACGTCGAGGCTACCCACAAAGGAGGCTACTTGCAGTCTGTTTCTCTCTCGAAATAATCTGGAGCGCGGCCAGCTCAGTGAGCGCGGAATGCGATTCTTCTCGTTCATACCGCCATCTTTTGCGAACGCGCTCTTGGGATAAACACTTCGATGGAACCAAAGAGAAAAGGGGTACTGCAAGCAGTCTACCTCTAGTTATAGACCTCTGACAATGTATAGTGCTAGGACACAAATAATCACCGAAAAATTCCCCAAAACCCGGTGGAATAGTGATAAAGTTTTGAATTGTTGGCCTTTTTCCATCGCGCGAGAGAAAATAACACCGTCACGCGTGTTCGTGGAGTCACGCTTCGGCGTGACATCACGTGTGGCGTGACATCACGTGATCAGTTCTGGTGATCAGTAGTTGGCGGTCGGCGCGGCTCTGCGGTTGTGTTGGATTGTGTTTTACTGCTTCCATTTTGGGCAGCTTTTCTGATCTTCCAAGAAGGTAAGTTACCAAACCAGTAACACTTAACATTAAATAATAGCAAGAACCGGTGAAATTTCAGCTGGTTGCTTTATTCTGTAACGTTTTCATGTCTTCACTTGACTGTCTGTCGTCGGCAGGGGTATAATTTTTGTCGAACCGGAACGCCAAACGCAGAATGTAGTATTTGATTCGTATTTAGGGTTAAAAACTCATCTACATGTATAAGGTTAGCCTATCTAGCACTCTGGATAGCCTAGTTAACACTCTGTTTAGCCTAGAGACGGTTAGTTTTCGGTGTTTGTTTATATGACAGACATAATTTGGACAATTTATACCCGGCGTATCACATCGGACGAAATCGAACGAAATTTTAATCGAACTCAATCGAATTTAATCGAACGATGAACGAAATCGAACACATAATTTTTTTGTGAGTTTGATTTCCGAACCAAATCGAATGTCATCGTTCGATTTCGTTCAAATTTTTTATATCAGTATTTCTTTTATTTTCATCCCGGGTTTTGTTAGCACACTGTGACATGCCAGGCAATCAGTCCAGTAAAACTACCCAAAGGGAAGATGGAGAGCTGGCGGTGGAGTTTTTAATAACTTCCTGTGAACATTTATATTGACACAATTTTTGGGGAAGCGACAAGCCTTACGCTGGAATTGAAAGGCATCCATGCTTAATGACTAGTCTCCTACGCAGCCGTTATTTGTGTCGTCACGCAACGCTTCTCCCCACTAACGGCTGCTCAAACCTGGACCACATTCCTTTCCTTTTGTTTTGGCCGCAGTAACTTTGACCTATCGGCAAAAACGTGACTGTTACCGTTTGCCGAAAACTTGCTAGATCGATCCAATTCTTGAACTAGGATGTCTGTTGTAATATTATTATAATGAAGTTTTTTCAACATAATTCTTTCATATCATACATTTTTCTTCAGTAAAACCTTGTTTTATTTTATGTCTGGTGTGCGTCAAATTCAAAAGGCGGCATATTAGCGTGTGTTTGACGTTTCCGACGCTAAGGCCACGATAAGACACAATCTATGATTGGTGAATTTTGGGCGCGAACGAGTTCCGAAAATGGCACTGCAACTGTGATTGGCTTAAATCTGCAAAGGAATGTGGTCCAGGTTTGGGCAGCTGTTAGTGGAGAGAAGCGTTGCGTGACGACACAAATAACGGCTGCGTAGGAGACTATGCTACGACAGGACATGTAGCCGAAACTTATAGCTACTTATGGAACTGATTAACAATTATGGTTCATGCTTTAGCATGTGTATTTTATATCGAGTTATGATGCACCGGCGGGAAGTTTGGAGAGCACAAGAGAAGCGTAAGAGTTGCTTGAGGCGATAGAAACATGTTTTGTGCTTAATCGAGAAAATGATGATTACGTAGACTTGAACTCTTTTGCCGCTTTTGTGAACAAAATGACATTTTTTAGTTTAAGCTTAAATCAATAAAGATAATTTTGTAATAAAAAGAAGAAACTCAGAATATATGGAATTATAATATACTCACCACAGGATATTGCAATTTTGGACAATCTGATTGGTTCCCTACTCAAGGCATATGAGGCAATGTACCATTACTACCTTATTTAGGAATCCCGCTAATTACGATTAAATATCCCATTTTCCTCTGTTTTTTCCTTCCGTTCTTTCCCCAGTAATTTTTAATTGCAATATCATGTGGTGAGTATATTATAAAACAATATTATTGTTCCACTCAATCTCGTCGTACATGAACTCATAGCCAACAATTGTTAAATATAGGAAACAAAAGTTTAGATGGTCTTGACTGACTATTACGCTTATAATCAAGAGTTCGAAAACCGATATTCGCAGTTTTTTTGTGCGAGTTTGATTTTGTTCGATAATCAAACTTAATTGAACGTTCGATTTTGTTTGATTCACAATTTTTTTGTGAGTTCGATTTTGTTCGATGACCGAACGAACGATTGAGTTCGATTCCGAACGTTTGATGCGATACGACGGGATTATAAGACTTGTATGGATTCTGTGTTTGACGTTCTTCAAAATACCCCTGCCAGTTTATCGTTGTGTTTAATAAGCTTACAGCATACCATAAAAGCTCTATTAAGCCCCCAGGGGCTTATTTAATTTCAGGCCCCAAGAAGGGGGGTAGAGAGGGGGGGGGGGGGGGGGGGGGGTAAATAGAGCTTTTATGGTAATCAACCGACCCATATGATAATCGTTCTTATATTGTTATAAGGTATTTTCTAGTTGATAATGTGCTTGTCAATTCTATTAACGAAGGTTTTTCATTGTCATTTCGGCTCTCAACTTGTGTGTACAACACAGTGGCTATTCGTTTGGGACCCGTACGGAAACTTGTATTTGCTATTCTATATTCGTAGAATTTCTATGTAATTACTTATTCTTGCCAATATAAGCATTTGGTGGACAAAATTAATGTAATGTCACTTGATTGCATTAACATTTATTTATGCATTAAATGGATATTAATTATGCATTAAATTATTCATGAGGTTGAGCCCACGATATCTAATGGTCACCTGCCTTACCCATGGGGGTGGCTTTGGAGAGAGGGAGGGTGGGGAGTTGGACGCACCTGGGAGGGAGAAAGTATTTCCAGCTTCTTTCATTTGTTCACCTTTCAATGGGAATTTTAGGTTTTCAAAGTGAAATAAATGAACAACAAATAGACCTGAGAGGATCTGTAAAATTTTGTGTTTGGGTAATTACTGCTTACAAAATTATTTGAACTTCAAATGGATTTTGCAGGAGTAAGGAGAACGGTGGCAGTACGTTTGAAGCACTTCAAACACAAAATGCACCCTAAAATGCATTTAGAACCGTGCAAACCGTAAAATATGTCATGTATGCCGATGGATTGTGTCTCTGGTGATAGGCACA